GTTATACACCCTAATGATATAGGCCACTATATAAATGTAGGCTGTGCATAGAGAAAAACCGAAACACAGGCCAGAAAATGCAATGGAAATATACTAACGAAACGTAACATCTGACCAAGAATAAAACATATGGTACGATCTCCGCCTCGGTATGAACCCAGACATTTCACATAAAAAAACAGCTTGGAAGATTTAAACATAAAGCTCCACGCCTCACCCACTTTTGGGGTGATACGTTCACAAGGTAAATGTGTTTAGGCCTGGCCTAACGTGCTTAGGTTTCTGACGTGTTTGACAGAAAGGTATTTGACATCAAATTTGATATCAAATACAGTACCTATGTAGGCCTACATTAAATGCTAAACACGTGAAGATGTTAACCGCATTATGCTATACATAAACGTAACCCGTGAATCCTACTATCTAATATGTTTGTGTTGCCAAGAGTCGCGATCCCGCGAACATCCTGTGTTATGTTGTACCGAGTGTATGCCATATCCGGTAAAGGTCAAATGCGGGTCAGATTCATAAGGCGGAGCTAAGCGATACAGAATTCATTAAAATAGGTGATTTAAAACTCGTTTTTCAGAAAAACGCGTTATCTAAAAATAAAAGGAAAGCCACCTATATGTTTATTATATAATTCTTTATTGTTTTATAACATTTTAAATGTAACTAGAATATGTCATTTTACATGGACTTTAAGCTTCTAAACGTGTCAGCAAAAGCGGGACAAAATTGTTTGACCTCCACGCTGTTTTTACGGTGATACACAATACATGCCAGTTTCTTCGTTTAGGTATCTGACGTTACAATTGGAATAGCATTAACTTTCACACGATCATTTGAAATATGAAATGTGGGTTTACAATGGGGTACCTTTTTTTGTAATATTCGCAGGGATTGCATGATGTTATCGACATAGACCTGTGGATGGTATAAGGCGGTGTCTTTGCACCAATCACATATATCATTGGCTCCAATAAATAACGTCACAAGTTTCCAGTCGTTATAGAAATCTATATCAGGATCACGTTTCATCTTTGCGACCAGTCTCTCCGCTTGTGTCGGCATATCTCTGAAATAGGTTGTCATTGATTAACAAATCCATATTTCCACATATTTTGGAGAAGTTACCATATTAATAATAAAAAAGAATAATGATAATAATAAAACGAATAATGATAAGAAGAAATAGGTCAAATAATAAAAATAATAATCATAATAAAAATAATGATAATAATGATGATGATGATGATGGTAATAATAATAATAATAATAATAATAGAGGTGACGATGTTGAAGATTATGATAAGGGTGATGATGATGATGATGATGATGATAATGATGATGGTCATTATTAACAACTACAATAATAATATTAATAACAATAGGCCTAAAAATAATGATGATAATGTAATGATGATGATGATGATAATGATGATGATGATGATGCTGTTGTTGTTAATAATAATAATAATAATAATAATAATAATAATAATAATAATAATAATAATAAATATAACTATAATAAGGGGACACATTTTTCAGTCACGAAATGAGGGAAAGTATATACGCCTATCTTTTAACAATGGGCCTATTGCTAACCCCTATTAAGTAATATTTTTGGTACCGAAGGTGGATAGGGGTTCTAATGAAATACCAACAGGCCGAATAATAAAAACAAAATAATAATCACTGTCATATTGAAATGTGTCTCTATCATATTTTGACAGTTTCGTTTATTCTTTCTTTAACATTATCCTAACAATAAACTTAGATAAGACCGACACTTAAATTCACGGGGAACTTACGAGGATACGTCCCCGGGAAAACCAACGTTCATTCCGGCGTTGGAACTATTCCACCGGCCTGTCTCAACTCCGTATCCCTTCAGGTCCGGGTTGAATTGTTTCAAGATATCTATATATAAACACACAGTATTTTTGTAATATGGCAAATAAACGGATAAACAATAGAATAAATTTATCAATGGAGGCGTTAATGTGAGAAGTACTTCTTACTTACTTGCTAAAGATGGCACCCTTGCAAAAGTCTTATCACCTCCGTGACTAGCAAAACACAACCAAAAACAATTAATGGTAAGTCGTGCGTGGAGAAAATTCTTTATAAAAATAGACCTATATTGCCATGGTGTTGATCTAACAATTTCAACAATAAATTATTAAATATTTAATTTGTTACTCTCTAAGTTTATTAAGATGTTGCTTTAAGCTATGTCCAGATTATCCAATTTTATTTGACAAAAAAAAAATGTATGCCCATATATCATTGCAGGTTGAGATCCATGGCTAAATGGAAAAAAAAGATTAGCCTTTATCTTGTGATTAATCTCTTAGGTTATCACAGCTACACATAAGCAATCCTTGACTGATGCACAATTATTTTATAATGATATGCCATAAGTTATATAGTGGGCTACGAATAATGTTATATTTCATGATTTTGAACATTTTCACGCTTTTCCCTTTAAAATTGGATAAGTACTTACGAAGATATTATATTAATCACTGTTTTTGGTAAGGTTTTAGTCAGCTATTCAATATAATAATTGAAATAATGTTTATCTACTTTCACTCAATAGACTTTTTGAAATGTAGCAAGATCTACACTATGGTTTTCTGCAGTTTCATTTCCGTGTTGATAGGCGGCCCAGTGTAAAACAGGGCACACATCTGGTCACCCTCCAAAAACAACAGTTATTAGTCAGGAAATAACAATCATTATTAGGAAAAGCTAACTGTAAAGTATTAATTTTTTTCTTAGTAAAATTTTAATAACTTAATACATGAAAATATTGTAACAATTGTGATTTATTAGTCAGTCAATTATGGGTACTCAGTGCTACAATATTTTTTTTTTTCTAATTACATCATATGCTTTATAATTATTTGGGTGATTCCATGGTAACCGACGTTACAATTCATGTATATACACATCTCATGTCCAAGAGTTAGACAAAACATGAGGGAAGGGAAAATAGGCTATAGTTAGGGTGAAAAACCCAGTTTTTTGGCCAAAGTGGCAAACAATTATTTACAATGGTTTTTTGAGTAGAAACTATCTAAGAGGGTTTCAAGAGCCACCAAAAAAAAGTTGGAACAATTTTCCCATGGGAAAAAGAGTTATGACCTTTTATATAAAGGTCAATCTATTTTTAGTAACAAACACTGAAACAATAGGGGTAGTCGGTTCTATCCCACATATGACCCAAAAAACAATTGCAAGAAAATGGATGTTTTCTGTAGCATAAGGTCTAGAAAAGATGAATATGTATATTTTAGCCAAAAATTGCACAAGCATCAAGTGATTTTTCCAAATGGTGCCAAAAACTTTAAAATAGCCATAAATTAAGTTCTTTTTGTCTCGGAGTGTTTTTTAAGCCAATTCAAAATTCATCTGATAATGATTAAATAATAATTTTAAAAAAATTGAATAATTCCAAAAGTCATCTAAAATGGCTGCTATATTCATTTTTCATATCCGTAACCCATTAATTAGTAGTCCTATAGTGGTGATTGCAGTGTCTACATTTGCTGGGTCATAGCATTTATCAATATCATTTAAAATATGATTTAATAAGAGCTTAAGTAAAATATAAATAAATATCAAATTTGGAATGGTCTCTATACAGTGGCATGTCTAGGGAGTGTGTGAGGTGGTGGGGGGAGGTGGTGTTGTTTGGGATGCTGTCCAAAAAAAAACTTACGCCTCCTTCACATTGGAAGCAAAAAAGTCAGCTGAAGTAGTTAAAATCATTGAATATCATCTTATTTTGCAACTTAACGCCCAGTGGCGGATCCAGGTGGGGGGTGGTTCAAGGGGGTTCGGACGAACCCCCCTCTGTGAAGAAACGTAACAAAATACTATTGGGTCCTGGCTTACAAAAAGCATTTACCAACCGTTTTTCGCGCATCGTGCGGGACGGTCCTGCTTCAAAGTGATTTTGGATGTAACACGCATTTGGCAGAAACACATGCGTGATCTTAAATTTGTCACGCATTTAGTCCACGCATGACGACGAATAATCACGAATTCAGGGAAAATATATTTAAAATTAGAAGAAATTAGTTTTATTAAAAATATAAAACAATCATGCAGTAACTTGAGTCATTAGAGAGCTTTCGTTATCGCGTTTGAGATTCAATTCACCAAAAGCTTTGGCGGTGCGTGTGGTCTTGCGCATTCATTGTCACAATGTTGATTATCCATGAAACTATCCAAAAATAAAAACAAATGAAATTAAATATTTTGATAAATAATTTTCTCATTATAAATAAAGACAACGAAATTCCTAAAATATATATATATATTAACTAGCAAAAGTCAAAAGAACAGAAGCTTGTTATTTTTAATGTACTGGTATTTAATCTTGAATATAAATAATATAAAAAATAATAATAAAAAAAATATTTTAAATAGAAAATAATTTGCTTCTGTATTAGTTTCAACTAAAGAAGTTTCTGTAATATGGGAGAAATTGTTTTTTTTTTGTTTTTTTTTGTTTTTTTTGTTTTTTTTTTTTCAAAATGTCTGTCTACTTTTAAATTTTGATTTTTAATTGTGTATAGAAGATGAATGTGCATGTTTTTTTTGTACGCAAGCTTGTCTTTGAGTTCGGTTAACTCACTGAAATCTATAAAAAAAAATAATCTGCTATCAAAAAACTCCAAATATGAAGTTAATTCTGGCTATATCTGCAAAAGCCTGGGAAAATTTTTAAATTTAGTAGACTCAAAATCGAATATAGCACTATTACGGTAGCTACTTGCCACCTGCTAATTTTCCCCACTGATTTTTTTTCTACCTGGAGAGTTATTCCCGGCCCAGGCTATTCCCCCACCCCCCTCTATTTTTTCGATGCATTGTTCCTCCTAGTTTTCCTATTGATTTTTTCCATCAGGTTATTTTCATTATACTTTATAAGAGAGAACATATTTTTTTTTTTATTTTGTGTTTTCTCTATATCAATGAATTGTCTAGTCATTGTAAGGTTACACTAAAAATGTGTGCCGATGATACAAAAGCGTTATTCAATCAATTGACTGATTGACTATTGATGCATTCGTAATACTGTATTGATGAAGCCTAAATACACATTGTAGAAACGTTTTGAAAGTTTAAATCCGGTTTTACATAAGAAATGCGAGAAAGAAAACAGGATATCTTTATAACATGTTTCCTCTTTTGGAATTTTGATATCACACCTTTTTCCTAGTCGTTCTATATATCCATATTTCATCCCAAAAAACACTCTATTTTCTGTACTTCTACAGTACTTTGGAGGTCAATGCCCTTTAGTGATTCTCTTATACGATACGCCTACTACTGAAAGGTCCACTGATTAATCTCAGATAGGGAAGTATAATACATACTCCAAGTAGGCCTATTGAAATACACGCCATCGTGTTGGGATTCAATATTTCGACATTAATTATGTCATCATACGCCTACTTTTATTTCAAATCGTGTGTTACGGTAGATGGTATCAAATACGCCTATATCATTAAATATATTTCATTTAATTAATGTTATTTAATTTGTTTATCAGAAAATTAGTTTAATTTATG